AGGGTGCCTCGTGGGATGACTCCAGGTGGTGGGCACATTTGTAGAGGTGCCTGGCAGGAGGTGACTCTAGGTGGTGGGCATATTTGCAGAGGGTGCCTGGTATGTGTCTGAAGAGGCCCAGGAGGGTGGCATGCTGCGGGAGGGCATTCGCCGTTGTGGCATCGGCCAATCTCTCCTGATGGGTCCGCGTGAGACAGTTTCCGAGGTGTCTGCTTTCAGGACGGCAGGAGGCAGGTGCAATGTGCCAGGCGTGTGATTGTGCTTTCTCTCTCCTCAAGGCCATCGAAAGTTTTGCCGTCATGGTGAAGCAGACGGCTCAGATGCTGCAGTCCTTCGGGACCGAGCTGGCCGAAACAGAGCTGCCCAATGACGTGCAGTCGACAAGCTCAGTGCTGTGTGCACACACGGAGAAGAAGGACAAGGCGAAGGTAGGTGGGGGGCTCTGGTCGGAAGCTGCAGGGTTCTTCCGTCCCAGGGTCGGAATCCACAGCATGTGAGACCAAGAAGTCAGCAGGCTAGAGATGCCTTTTGATGGTGATGAGCTGGGCAGCCTCGCAGATGAGAAGGGAATGTGTTCCTTTTTGAAAGGAACCCTGTCGAATGCCGGCTGCGGTTACCTCGCACAGGCTGGTGCCGGGTCAGTCGCTGGCCCTGGGTGGCCTTGGTGTCAGGAGGGGGACCAGGGCGGCTTTCCTCTCGGGAGCACTCTTGGCCGCCTGTGCAGGAGCCCCCAAATAGACGTCTCTGTGGCTTCTGAGTGTGACAGAGACAGGACGTCTGCCCGGTTTCTTCTGCCAGGCAGGCGATGAAGTGGTGGTTGGATTTGTGTGCTCACGGCACTCCAGTGCTCACGCGTCCACAGCACTTGCTGGGACGGACGTATTGTGAGGAGTGTGTGCGCCCTGCTCTGTTCTGCCCCCACCCCTGCCCACACGCTGCTGGCTTTGAAGCAGCAGGACCCAGGCCCATGACCTGCAGGTGCATCCCCAGGACGGTGCCTCTGTGCTCAGCGGCTGCTCCTCGCTGAGAACAGCGTGAGGACCCGGAGCAGGCCCTGTGAGAAAGCCTGGCCTCTGGTGACTCTTCCACCGTAACCCTCTGCCCCGAGTGTCCTATAGCAGCAGCTCTACCCGGGGCACACAGGAGTGAGGGAGTCCCCCACATCGGCCTGCCCTCCTTGCACGACCCCACAGAAGACACTGGGAAGACTTGGGAGGGCGAGTCCCTCCTCAGTCCCCACCCCTCAAGAGCGAGACCCCACGAGGCCTCACCTCCGGCCTGCGCTGCCCGCCTGTCTGGGGCTGGGTGCGAGGCTTCGTTCTCTGCACAGGAGGACTTGCGGCTGGCACTGAAAGAGGGGCACAGCATCCTGGAGAGCCTCAGGGAGCCGCAGGCCGAGGGCCCAGAGCCTGGCGTGAACCAGGACCAGCTCGACAACCAGGCCACCGTGCAGAGGTAAGGCTGGCCGCCTTCCTGCCATCGCCCTGCCCTGGTCCAGAGCAGAAGCCTCTCAGGCACACGGCCTCTGCGAAAGAAAGCCACAAATGGCAGGCAGCCCTGCAGGCAACCCCACGCCCCACGCAGGCCAGCACGCAGCCGGCACCCCAACCTCCTTGTGGACCCGGCTCCTCCTGCTGAGATGCTTTCTCCTGAACCCCACGGAAAGCCGCTGTTGTAGGGAGGACGATTTCCTAGAGCAAATGCCCTTCCACAGGAGTGAAGGAGATGTTAGGGCAGGAAGAGGCGACGGAGTACTTTAGACATGGGGGCTTCCGCATTCCCAGCTGGGGGTTCGCAGACAGGGAGGAAGCCTGGGGGTCTCCTCGCTGCAGCTTATGTTCCTTACTTTCATGGTAAAAGGCGTGATTCACATATTTCTCCTTTGGGCTTCCAGCTTTATAGAGCACAGGGTAGGGCACTTGTGCGGTTGGCATGGTGCCCTAGGACATCTAGAACTCCTAGAGCCTCCCCCGACCCATCCCCCAGGACTCCCCAGCCTCATCTCATCCCATCCCCCTAGAAATCCCCAAGCCCCCCTCCCCCATCCCATCCCCACCAGAACTCCCCAAGCTTCCCCTCCTCCATCCCATTCCCCCTCAGAATCCCCCAAGCCCCCTCCCGCATCCAGTCCTCCCCAGAACTCCCCAAGCCTTCCCTGTCCCATTCTCAAGGGTGGGTTTTATCAGCCCCACCTCCTGGCTGAAGAACAGGCCCCACGCAGCTGGACAGAGGTTTGTTCGGCAGGGCGGTGCCGGGTGCACCCTGGCCTGGACTGAGCTGGTCCTTTTGACTCTCAGCTGCCTTTGACTCCCACATAGCATGACACACACTGAGCTGCCTTCTGTGCCATGGACATGGCAGAGGCCCCAGGGACACCAGGCGTACCCTTGAGGGGCTCCTCATAGATGGGGTGCTGTGACCCACCAGGCGGAAGTTGCAGCCCCGCCCATGAGGGTGGGCCAGCCCTTGTATGTGTTGGGCACCTTGTCAGCTTCCCAGAGACTCAGTTTCCCCATCTGTAAAGTAAAGCTGATTCATGCACATGCCTGGAGGTGGGCGTGGGGCTGATGGGTGATACAGGTCGGTGCTTAGCACAGCACCCCTGAGCATGGGGTGCTGTGTTATGCACCGACCTGCATCAGGCCTGCAGTGACCCCAGCTTCCTCCTGACATTTAGGGACAGCTCACTACCCTGGACCGCAGCTGTAGCTAATCACCCCAAACCTTGGCCTTCTTGGCCTTTTAGAAATGAACAAACTCAGGCCAGGCACAGTGGCTCACACCTGTCATCCCAGCACTTTTGGAGGCCAAGGTGGGCAGATCGCTTGAGCTCACGAGTTTGAGACTAGCGTGGGCCACGTGGTGAAATCCTGTCTTTACAAACAGTACAAAAATCAGTCAGGCATGGTGATGCACAGCTGGAGTTGCAGCTACTCAGGAAGCAGAGGTTGCAGTGAGCCAGGATTGCACCACTGCACTCCAGCCCAGGATAGAGCCAGACCCTGTCTCAAAACATAAAGAAAACTTTTTTACATTTTTTTAAAAATTAAAATGAACACACTCAGTGGCTCGGCCCAGCTGCGGGGACGTAGAGGGAGAGAAGCAGGAAGGAAAGCCCACGGCCCACGATGCTGTCTATGGGGCCTCCTCCCATCCTGATGGTCCTGGGTGCCTGCACCTGCAGATTCCGGCTTTGGGTGCAGGGGTGAGCAGAGGCCAGATCTCAGGAAGGCCGGCCTGGGTTGGAGATGAGCCTGGGGGTCACCCGAACTCCCAGTATGCTCTACGTTGTGTGGGGCTCCCTGGGCCATGCAGACTGTTGACTCCTCCTCTTTCCCAGGCTCCTGGCCCAGCTGAATGAAACCGAGGCTGCCTTCGATGAGTTCTGGGCAAAGCATCAGCAGAAGCTGGAGCAGTGCCTGCAGCTCCGGCACTTCGAACAGGGCTTCCGGGAGGTGAGTGGCCCTGGCGGAGCTGGCGGTCACCCTGATGCCCATGGGGCCTCCTGTGCCCATGCCCTGGTCCCAGTGCCAGGAGCTGAGCCGAGCTACCCAGCTGACTTTGGCTTAATGCGGAAAGTGGAGCCTGTGAGATTATGTTGGGCTGAGCCTTGAAACGCACGACTGATGACTGGCCATTGTATAGAAAGGTGATTGAGGCTGGGTGCGGTGGCTCACACCTATAATCCCAGCACTTTGGGAGGCCGAGGCAGGCAGATCACAAGGTCAAGAGATTGAGACCATCCTGGCCAGCATGGTGAAACCCTGTCTCTACTAAAAATACAAAAATGTCCTGGGCATGGTGGCATGCACCTGTAATCCCAGCTACTTGGGGGGCTGAGACAGGAGAATTGCTTGCACCTGGGAGGTGGAGGTTGCAGTGAGCTGAGATTGCGCCATTGCACTCCAGCCTGGGTGACCCAGCAAGAGTCCATCTCAAAAACAAAAAAGAAAAGAAAGAAAGGTGATTGGACGTCAGCTCACTGGGATACACTCACCTGCATTATTCATAAATTGGCCAAGAAGCCCTTGCTCTCCCTCCATGGTCATTCACATGCTCTTCTATTCAGCATGCATGTATGATGTGCCTACGGTGCGCCACACAGCCGTGAGGTGCCATCGACACAGCCAGTGCAGCCAGACCCTGATGTCTCCCTCCTGTGGCCCCTCAGGGACCCACCCATGTTCGTCCCAGCCCACCCCTCCTCAGCCCCCGGCAACCACTCATCTGTTCCCATGGCTGTACTTTTGCCATTTTGTGATATAAACAAATCACACAGAATGTCCCTCCCGGGACTGGCTTAGCTTGTTCAGCACAGCTCTCTGCAGACCCCCAGGTGCTGGTGGTTCATTCACTGTGTTCCCGGTGTGGACAGACCACAGTTCCTTTTCATTCATCTGTTGAAGGGTATCTGGGTTGTTTCCAGGTTTGAGTATTACAGATGAGGCTGTTACAAACATCCACGTACTGATGTTGGCGTAAATGTAAGCTTTCATTTCTCCGAATTAAATGCGCAGAATGTAATTGCAGGGTTAAATAGTAGTTGCATGTTTAGTTCTTTAAAGAAAGTGCCAGCCTGTTTTCAGAATGGCTGTAACATTAACATTCCCACAAGCCGTGATGAGTGGCTAGTTGCTTCCCGTTTTCCACAGCATGTGACACTGTAGTGATTCTTTACATTACGCTCACATCCTGATGCGTGTGCAGTGAAATCCCACGGTGGTTTTCCGTTTCATTTCCCCAGTGCTGGTGATGCCAGACACCTTTCCATGTGCTTATTTGCCATTCACAAATCCTCTTTGGTAAAATGCCCCGTTTCTGTTGCCCCCCCCCGCCCTTTTTTTTTTTTTTTTTTTTTTTGGAGACAGAGTCTTGTTCTGTTGCCAGGCGCCGGGCTGGAGGCTGAAGTGCAATGGCGCAATCTCGGCTCACTGCAACCTCCACCTCCCGGTTCAAGCAATTCTCCTGCCCCAGCCTCCCGAGTAGCTGGGACTACAGGCGTGCGCCACCATGCCCAGCTAATGTTTCTATTTTTTAGTAGATATAGGGTTTTTACCATGTTAGCCAGGATGGTCTCTATCTCTTGACCTCATGATCTGCCCACCTCGGCCTCCCAAAGTGCTGGGATTATAGATGTGAGCCACCCCGCCCAGCCCTTGTTCCCCCTTTTCTAACTGGATTGTTTGCTTTTGTGTTTTCATTTTACTGTTACATTTTGAGAATTCCTTATGTACTGCAGATACTAGTTCTTTGTCAGATGTATGGCTTCCAAATATTTTCTCCTGGTCTGTAATTCATCTTTTCATCCTCTTAACAGGGTTTTTCACATAACCAAAGCATTTAATTTTGATGATCTCCAGTTGGTCAATTTCTCCTTTTAAGGATTATACTTTTGGTTCTAGATCCTAAGTATACCCCCCTAAGCTTTCCCCCCACCAAATTTCATAGTTTTACATTGAAGTCTATGATCTATTTTGAGCTAATTTTTGTATAAGGTATGAGAATTAGACCGTGATTTATGTTTTACCTCTGGAAATCCCATTGCTGTAGCACCGTTTGTTGGAAAGGCTCTTTCTTCCACTGGGTTTCTTCTCCACCGTTGTCAAAACTCTGGGCACAGTTGTATGGGTCTGTTGTGGAGGTTCTCTATTTGGTTCATTTATCTACATACCTGTTCCTATGTCAGTACCACGAGGTCTTAATTACCATAACTATGTTATGTCTTCAAATCAAGCATACTCATTCTTCCCTCTTTGTTCTTCTTTTTCAAAATCATGTTAGCTTCTAGTTTTTTGGCCTCTTTATGCCAATTTTACATTTATCTTGTCTGCATATATAGAAACAAATTTGCTGGAGTTTACATAGGAGTTGTGTTAAACCTATACTTTGGGAAGAATCAATGCCTTTACTGTGTTGAGTCTTACAGTCAACAAAGATGGTATTGTCAACATTTGTTTCTATTTCTTTCATCAGTGTTGGGTAGTTCTCAGCACACAAGCTCAGTACATGTTTTGTTTGACTTACATTTAAGATTACATTTTAAGAAGTCATCACAGTATTATATTTTTAATTTTGGTGTTTATGTATTCATGGCTGCATATAGAAACACCATTGATTTTTGTATATTTATCTTGTCTCCTGTGACCTTGCTGAACACACATATTCTAGACAGTGTTTTTAAAGTCCTTGAAATTTTCCATATAGACAATCATGTCATGTTCAGATAGGACAGTTTGATTTCTTCCTTTTTGAAGATATGCCTTTTATTTTACCCCCCCCCAACATGCTGCCCCACTGCATATTGCACCAGCTAGAGCTTCCACCGTTTGATAAGAGTGGCAAGACTGGACATCTCTGCCTTGTCCCCAGTCTTAGGGGGAAAGCATTTAGTTTTTCACTATCAGGTGTAATGTCAGTTGTAGGATGTTTGTAGATGCTCAATAAAACTATCTGGGCCTAGAGATTTCTTTGGGAGACTTTTAAAATTATGAATTCAGTGTCCTTAATACTTACACAACTATTGAAATTATCTATTTCACATTGAGATGTGATAGTGTGATTTCAGGGCAGTGTGGAGGGTTGTTATCTATTTCACAGTGAGATGTGGTAGTGCGTTTTCAGGGCAGTGCGGAGGGTTGTTATCTGTTTCACAGTGAGATGTGGTAGTGCGTTTTCAGGGCAGTGTGGAGGGTTATTACCTGTTTCACAGTGAGATGTGGTAGTGTGTTTTCAGAGCAGTGTGGAGGGTTGTTATCTATTTCACAGTGAGATGTAGTAATGTGTTTTCAGGGCAGTGTGGAGGGTTGTTATCTGTTTCACAGTGAGATGTGGTAGTGCGTTTTCAGGGCAGTGTGGAGGGTTGTTATCTATTTCACAGTGAGGTGTAGTAATGTGTTTTCAGGGCAGTGTGGAGGGTTGTTATCTGTTTCACAGTGAGATGTGGTAGTGCGTTTTCAGGGCAGTTTGGAGGGTTGTTATCTGTTTCACAGTGAGATGTGGTAGTGCGTTTTCAGGGCAGTTTGGAGGGTTGTTATCTGTTTCACAGTGAGATGTGGTAGTGCGTTTTCAGGGCAGTGTGGAGGGTTATTACCTGTTTCACAGTGAGATGTGGTAGTGCGTTTTCAGGGCAGTGTGGAGGGTTGTTATCTATTTCACAGTGAGATGTAGCAATGTGTTTTCAGGGCAGTGTGGAGGGTTGTTATCTGTCTCACAGTGAGATGTGGTAGTGCGTTTTCAGGGCAGTTTGGAGGGTTATTACCTGTTTCACAGTGAGATGTGGTAGTGCGTTTTCAGGGCAGTTTGGAAGGTTGTTTTTATCTTTTTGATGTTTGCAGGGTCTGTAGTGGTATTCCCTTTTGCTTTCTGATATTGGCAATTGCATCTTCTTTCTCTCTTTTATTTTTTTTTTTTTTTTTTGGTCTGTCTAGATTGAAATGTGTCACTCCTTTTCTTTCCAAAGAACCAATTCTTCGTTTCATTAGTTTTCTCTATTGTTTTCTGTTCTCAATTTAATTGATTTCTGGTCTTACCTTTATTATTTCTATGGATTGCTTTCGTGGGAGCTTACATTCTTTATTTGAGATGATTGTTCTTATCTAACATACATATTTAATGAGAACATTATAAATTTCCCTCTCATCACTGATTTAGCTGTGTTCCACAAATTTTGATGTACTGTATTTTCTTTTTCATCTAGTTCAATTTTTTTTCAATTTGTCTTGGAGCTTCCTCTTTGATCCATGAATTATTTAGATGTTTGTTGTTTGACTTCCAAGTGTTCAGAGATTTTCCTGTTGTCTTTCCATTCTTGATTTCAAGTTTGATTCATTGTGATCAGAGAGCGTAGTCTATATGATTTCAGTTCTTATTCATGTGTTGAGATTTGTTTTATGGCCCAAGAAGATGGTCTTTCTTGGTGTATCTCCCTCAGTGAAAAGAATGTGTATTCTGCTATTGTCAGGTGACATTCTGTGAATATCAGTTACATCCTGTTGGCTGATGGCATTGAGTTCTTCTAGATCCTGGCTGACTTCTGAGAGTGCTGTGTTAACCATACTCAGCGGCTATGGGTAACATGGAGGGAAGTCTCACACATCAGCTGTGACAGGTGCAGGGGGCTCAAGGATGGACAAGAATCCTGCCTTTCTGGCCTTCAACCCCAGGCCATCTGAACGACAGCCCCCCTTGGCACTGGGACGTCTGCATACACACCCGGCTCTCAGGATCACATCCTAACAAAAATTAAAAGCATTTGTGTTTAAAGGAATAAGCCGTTATATGTCTTAAAAATCAGGCCAGGTGTGGTGGCTCACGCCTGTAATCCCAGTACTGTGGGAGGCTGAGGCAGGTCAATCACCTGAGGTCAGGAGTTCAATACTAACCTGGCCAACATGGTGAAATCCCATGTCTACTAAAAATGCAAAAATTAGCTGGGGTGTGTTGGCAGGCACCTGTAATCCCAGCTACTCAGGAGGTGGAGGTTACCATGAGCGGAGATTGCACCATTGCACCCCAGACTGGGTGAAAAGCAAAACTCCACCTCAAAAAGAAAATTTAGGAATGAAAATAAAAATCACTTGTAGGACACCCATTGTCTTTCTGCCAACACCAGAAATCGTAGATGCTAGAGGTTAGTAGCAAGCTAGAAGGCGCGGAGTTACGGAACTCTCCTGGCCCACACCTAGGATCCCCAGGAAGGCGACGATCCGGGGTCCATGCTGCTGCGACAGTCCAGCACCCATCCACACTGCTGTCCTTTAGCCCCCAGGGCCTCATCCCTACGCAGTCTCATCTTCTCCTCATGCTGCTTTCAGGTGTCCCCATGTTGTGGTTGATAAACGGAGGCACACACAGGCCACAGAGAAACAAGTGTCCTCCTGGTGAGGTCACTGACGGGCAGCTCATCCCAAAAGGCCCCATGGTCCCCACCTGATTGGTGACCACGTGGCTTGACTTTGAGTTCCATCATTTCCCTGATCTGGAGCAGGTTCTCTCTGTTTGGGTGAGGGAGACGCCTCCCCTAAGATGGACCCTCCTCTGTTCCAGGTCAAAGCCGTCTTGGACACGGTGTCCCAGAAGATAGCGGCCTTCACGGACATTGGCAACAGCCTGGCGCACGTGGAGCACCTGCTAAGGGACCTGGACAGCTTTGAGGAGAGATCCAGCGTAAGGCGGAGTTCCCGCTGGGGCGGCGGGAGGGTGTGGGCAGCATTGTCAAGTGCTGCTCAGGAAGGTGCAGGAATGGGCCTCCCGCCCACGGAGGAGGGGCCCCCATGGCCCCCCCAGGGGACGGCCACAGGGGTGGAGGCAGCTGCCTATGTACCTCCCCTCCCCCACCCCACCATGGGCACAGGGCCCTGCCCGGCCTCCTCTGGGTCAGGTCCCTGCAGATGGGCAGTGCCTTTGCTGGGACCGTCACAGCCCCCAGAAGCACCTGCCAGAGACCAGCTTTGGGGATTAGGCAGCGTCTCAGTCATCCGAAGCAGTAAACAAAGAAAGCATGACCCACGTGTGCCCCGGGACACATCCCATACAGCTAGGCACCGTCTGCCTCAAACAGAAAGAGGCCTGAGCTGGTCCTCTGGGTGACCGTCCACAGGTGGCCGTGGAGAGGGCCCGGGCCCTGTCTCTGGATGGCGAGCAGCTCATTGAGAACAAGCACTATGCCGTGGACTCCATCCACCCCAAGTGCCAGGAGCTCCGGCACCTCTGTGACCAGTTCTCTGCAGAGATCACGAGGAGGAGGGGCCTGCTCAGCAAGTCACTGGAGCTGCACCGCCGCCTGGAGACGGTAGGCGCAGCCGGACCCACCCCACCCCTGCTGCGAAACCAGCCTCCTGGCCCCACATCCACCACCAGCTCACCCGTGTCATGGGAGGCAGCTCCCTGGCTGGAAAATGTCCTTGCAGCCTTCCTTCCGTTCCGTAGGCCTCGTTCTTCTTGGCGTAGCGGGTCTTTTTCTAGAATTCCTTTGCCACAATTGGATTTCTTTTTTTTTTTTTTTTTTGGCTCACTACAACCTCTGCTTCCCCTCTCACCTCAGCCTCCCAAGTAACTGGAACCACAGGTGCATGCCACCATGCCCAGCTAATTCTTGTGTTTTGTGTGTGTGATAGAGATGGGGTCTCACTATGTTGGCCAGGCTGGTCTCGGACTCCTGGGCTCAGGTGATCCTCCCGCCTTCGCCTCTCAAAGTGCTGGGATTACAGGCGTGAGCCACCCCGCCCAGCCAATAATGATTTATTTAAAAGGACCAGAAGCTTATGGCCTGGCTGAACCTGCTGAGCATTAGCTGCCTCTCTGAGCCCCGCCCTGGGTAATTCACTCGGCCTTGTCCAGCGCTGTGTCCCCTCGGAGCTCCTTAGACAGGGCGGCGGGAGCATGAGGATTTGGTGGTCTGGGACCCACCAGTAGGGTGCCCCGGCAGTGTGGGCCTGTACAGGGTGCCGCGCCCACCCTCTCACAGCGTCCTGCCCTCGGCAATGCTCTGTTTCCAGTCCATGAAGTGGTGTGATGAAGGGATTTACCTGCTGGCCTCACAACCTGTGGACAAGTGCCAGTCCCAGGACGGAGCAGAGGCCGCCCTCCAGGAAATTGAGAAGTTTTTGGAGACCGGCACGGAAAATAAGATCCAGGAGCTCAGCGCAATTTACAAGGAATACGAATCCATCCTCAACCAAGACCTCATGGTAATGCTGACCCAGGATTTCCACTGCAGCTCGGCTGTCCTGAGCAGTGGGGCATTCCTCCGTGGGAAGTTTTAAATAATTATTTAATGAACTACTTTTATTTATTTATTTATTTATTTATTTTTGAGATGGAGCCTCGCTTCGTTGCCCAGGCTGGAGTGCAGTGGCGTGATTGAAGCTCACTGCAATCTCTGCCTCCCGGCTTCAAGCGACTCTCCTGCCTCAGCCCCCTGAGTAGCTGGAATTACAAGTGCCCACCACCAAGCCCGGCTAATTTTTGTATTTTTAGTAGAGATGGGGTTTCACCATGTTGGCCAGGCTGATCTCGAACTCCTGACCTCAGGTGATCCGCCCACCTTGGCCTCCCAAAGTGCTGGGATTACAGGCATGGGCCATAACACCCAGCCCATTTAATGAATTACTCGCAGAAAATGGGCATTTGAGAGAAACATACAGTTGGAAGGTTGGACTGAATTTTCCATTCAACACAGAAATTATTTCCATGCCAACCTTGCGAGGTGGCCGTCCGCCTCCCCCCAGGTGGACTTTAGGGTGTGGGCGTGTCTTCAGGAAGGGCCTGGCCCTGGGACCTGGGGGTGCCCTCGAGACCAGGCTCCTCCGGACCCCTCCGCATGCCTGGGGAAGGCCTGGCTCCCTCACTGGCCTGGGGCTGCCCTTTCTCAAGGTTGGGGGCCCCATCCTGTGGGTGGGCCGCCTTCCCGTCACCATCCATAGCGGCCAGGATTCAACGCAGCCGCGCAGCACTGACAGACCCCGCCTGGCAGACATTTAAGTGGGGGTCGGGCGTGTCCCGGCACGTTCTGCGCGTGACCGTATGTTTTCAATGATGACGCCAGCGTGTGCAAGGCGCCTCACTGCGCGTGTGGTTTCAGGAGCACGTGCGGAAGGTCTTCCAGAAGCAGGCGAGCATGGAGGAGGTATTCCACCGCAGGCAGGCCAGCCTGAAGAAGCTGGCGGCCAGGCAGACACGGCCCGTGCAGCCGGTGGCCCCAAGGCCTGAGGCGCTGGCAAAGTCGCCCTGCCCCTCCCCAGGTCTGTGTGGCCACCCCCCGCCCTGAGTGCCGTGGGACCCTCGGGGGAGCCCATACATTGGGGACTTGGCGCGTCTGAGGCAGCCCCCTATGAAAACGGTCTCCCCACATGTCCTCCCCTCCCACCTCCAGCCCGGTTCGGGGCCTGAGGCCGGTTCCAGCTGCCCTCACCCACGCTTGTCAGTGGAGTTTTGTCAGGACCGGGCCACGTGCCTCCTGTAGGCGTTGGTGGGGGCTCTTTGTTCCTGAGGCTGGCAGGGTTTGCTGGTCTCCGTGCAGCCCGACTGGCCCAAAACTGAAAACGCAGAGCTCCCACGGAGGATCCACCTCCGACTTTCCCACCTCCAGCCTCCCAGTGGTCGTCCTTTCCCAGTGCCGTTGTCAATAACCCTCCTCACACACGGCCCAGACCCTGGGCTCCCAGGGCCCTGAAGAGCCACATCCACGCGCCTCAGGCTGCCTGGAGTTCCTGGTTCCGACCCCACCCTCTACACCAAGCTGGGCACTGCGCCATAGCCGGAGACTTTCCTGTCACCTCCATGTCTGAGAACGGACCCTCTTCCCGTCCTTGCTGGTTTCTCACACGAGAACCCACGAGGCGCGCGGCTGGGCACTGCTGCCGCCCCAGCTTTGGGAAAGTCAGCTGTGACTCCTAGGAGCCCAGGCCGGCTCCTGCCTTCCCAAGCGGGGTCCCAGGCAACCTTCTTTTCTCAGCCTGTTGGGAGCTCTCCCAGGCTCGTGTCCCTGTGGGCTGTGGGAACGTGGGATGACTTGGGGAGCAGTAAGACCCCACGGTCCTCCCCCTTCCCGAGCCACCACTCGGGGCCTCAGAGGCCAAGTCCTGCCCTCCTCTCAGGGCCTTTTCCCACTGGGCGCACATCCCTCTCCGGGGGTCAGAGGGGCCTTCATGCCCCACTCCCCTTCTTCCCTGCAGGCATCCGGCGAGGCTCCGAGAACTCCAGCTCCGAGGGCGCACTCCGGCGAGGGCCCTACCGGAGGGCCAAGGTGAGGCTTGCCCGCCACAACCCCGCCATCCACGCCCTCCTTCTCCCCGGTTCACACCAGGCCTGGTTCTCCGAGTGGCCTGCCCTCCAGGTGCTGCCCGGCTGCCCTGCTGCCTCCTGTCATGGAAACAGCCCTGTCCCCAGATGGGAACCGGGTGGGCTCCGGCCTGGAGTTGGCGCTTGGGGCTCCATCCCACCCTTCAGACCTGATGCTGTTCTTCTCCCCAGAGTGAGATGAGTGAGAGCCGGCAGAGCCGCGGCTCGGCGGGGGAGGAGGAGGAGAGCCTGGCCATCCTGCGCAGGTGGGTGTGCTGCCCTTCTGGCCTCCCACGGACCTCCGACCACAGTCCAAACCAGCAGGTGCCATTGGGCACTCGAGTGGATGCCTCACAGATAGAAGGCTGGTGTAAAAGTCACTGTGGTTTTTACTTTTGAGGTCCTGCTGTGGCTCGGGTGTGTGTCTGGTCCCCACCACATGAAGCACACACATGCCACACACACGCCACTGGGGGCATTCGGGAGGGAAGAAAGGGTGATGGTTGAACGCAGCAGTGATGGGGCGTCTCCACCCAGCACTGCCATTCACAGGAGGCACTGCTTAAAGCCCCCAGCCAGCGCCAGCCACCGGCTGCTCAGGCCTGCATGCAGGAGGTGGTGGTGCCAGGCACTGGTGTGGGGGCGGCACTATCTCCATCCTGCCTCCTCCCCTGGGATTCCCGGTCCTCAGATTCAGGGAGCATTGTGTGAACAAAAGCAGTTCGCTATCTTGGCCTCCTTCCCCTTTAAGAAAGACGTCACTAGTGCAGGGCCAGGGAATGCAGGCCCAGAGCACAACAGGAGCCAAAGCCCGTGAGGTACACGGGGCTCCCTCCCAGCGGCCCTCGAGGAGCAGGAGGAGGCCACACACGCACCAGGCGCCCGCCACCGACCCCCCTCACGCTTTACAGTGTTCCCCTTTTTAATATTTGCACTGAACACGTTTGCAAGAGATGTTTGGAACCAAGTCCCCTCCCTCGATCATCAACACTCCAAAATTAGGAAAGGGGAAAAGGCTCTTCCTGATGCATTGACAAGCAGGTGTCTGCAGGCAGTGCCAGTGTGAGGCGTCTCTCTGCAGGGTTGGGAGATGGGGCAAAATCGGGAATTACAGTAAACTGAGCTTGGTGTGAAAGCTGAGCCTGTAACTTCTGGCTTCTGATTGAAGCTGGTGGAACAGGATGCGGAGGAAGAGGGGGTTGCCAAGAAGCATCCAGGCAGAGGAGGGTCCTCAGGGAGGAGGGTCCAGGCAGAGGAGCATCCACAGGGAGAAGGGCCCGGGCACGGGAGCGTCCACACGGAGAGGCAGAAAGTGCTTGGCCCTGAGATGCAGGAGTGGCTCTCAGCCGGCAGTTCCAGGGTTGTGAGAGGGACTCCCGAGCCCCCTCGCTCCCCAGCCTGTGCCAAGGCAGGGGCCTCTGTGTGCCGACAGCTGTTTTAGAATGAACCTTGCTAAATAGCCTGGACCCAGGACCAGCCCACCGGCTCGTTTCTGTGCATCACATAAGCAGATGGGGCCCTGGCTGCTGAAAGGTGCTCACACCGTAACAAACCTGCACAGCCTATGCACCTTCCCCTTCCTGATCCCGTGTGCCAAGTGCAGGGACACCACAGACCACCCCTGCCCACCTGCTATGGGTCAGAGGGCTTGGGCAGGGGCCGTTCCCTCAATGCCAGAGCTCCGCCCTGGCCACAAGTGCCCACACAGATACACACCACGAGGAAGGCTCAGGGGGGCCGGGCAGGGGCGGGGTCTTCTTGGCGGAGGAGACTCAGGTGGATCTGAGGAGTAGGATGACTTGCCCATGAGCGTGAGGAACTGAGCTCATTTTGCACAGGTGGGACCAAAAGCCCAGGAGGCAGGTCGGGGAATCCCTCCCCCCAGGTGGTGTGTGCCAGGCCAGGGGCAGAACAGTGCTGGCCGGTCTGGGAACTGGGGAGGGGTCCAGCCGCCGTCTGCAGGATCTGAGGCCACGAGCTAGGAGGGGAGCCCCCAGGAGTGTCCAGCCCGTGGGCTTAGGGTCGCCACCAGTGCCCTCTCACTGTGCAGGCCGCCATCCTAGGTATGCACATGAGACTGTGGCGGGACCATTCCTGCCCTCCCAATGCTAACCTTTCTCTCTCTACATGACCTGTGACCAGGCACGTGATGAGCGAGCTCCTGGACACAGAACGGGCCTACGTGGAGGAGCTGCTGTGCGTCCTGGAGGTGAGGCTGGACTCGGGGAGGGCCGACCGCCATGCAGACTCACCTGCACCAGCTGCTGGGGCTCCCTCTGACCACTGCTGCTTGGAGCACGCTGCTGTCCACCAAATGCATGTAAAAGAGCACCCACAGCAGCCTGGTCACAGCTGCCCAAGACGGGGAACCCCTCGGGGGCCCAGAGCAGCCCACGGGGAGCCCCTTAGGGCCCATTAGCAGGACAGGGACCAGGCAGCTCAGATGGGGCCGCACAGGGGACCCACGTAGTAACAAGAAAAAGGAGCTGACACAACAGACGCAGGAAACGCACACCCATCCTCATGAACACAGGCCACACAGTGCGTGCAGTTCCTGGCACACAGCACTCCAGGGCAAGCAAAAGTGGTCTGGGTTAGGAGGCAGGATGGGGGTGACCTTGCCTGTGGGCTGTTGCCTGGCTGAGCTTGATGTGAGTGGTAGTCACCTGAGTGTAGACAGGTGTCTCATTCGCCAAGGATGCATAGGCGGTGATCACCAGAGTGTAGACAGCCAGTGTGCACAGGTGGTGGTCACTTGAGTGTAGACAAGTATATGATTTGTCTAGTGTGCACAGATGGTGGTCGCCTGCGTGTAGGTGGGTGTCTGAGTAATTGAATGTGTGCAGGTGGTGGTCACCCAAGTGTAGACAGATGTCCGATTCACCAGGTGTGTACACATGCTCACCCAAGTGTAGACAGGTGTGCAGAAGTAGTGATTACCTGAGTATAGACGGGTGTCTGATTCACCAGGTGTGCACAGGTGGTGGTTACCTGAGTGTAGACGGGGGTCTGATTCACTGAGTGTGTGCAGGTGGTAGTCACCCAAGTGCAGATGGGTGTCTGATTTACCAGGTGTGCACAGGTGGTGATCACCTGAGTATAGATGGGTGTCTGATTCATCGAGTGTGCACAGGTGGTGGTCACCCGAGTGTAGACATAGGATTTGTGCCTCTGTTTCAGTTACACCTGAATAATGAAAGGTTAAAAGTTAGAAGGGTAGAACATCCACGCCACCCCCAGGTCGGTGCTGTTCACAATACTTTTGCTTTGGTGGGTGCCTGTCCTTATGACTGTCTAGAAATCACCAAGAATAAAGATGAAGGGACAGCCTGCCCACAGAAGAGCGGCATCCCTGGTCCACCTGCCCCACCTGCCCCACCGCAGCCCGATGCTGTGGGTGGGCTGCAGCCAGGACCCCGCCGACCTTCACGCTCTCCCTGCAGGGCTACGCTGCTGAGATGGACAACCCGCTGATGGCTCATCTCCTTTCAACAGGCCTGCACAACAAGAAGGACGTTCTGTTTGGGAACATGGAGGAAATCTATCACTTCCACAACAGGTGGGTCCTCCTGACTCAGACTCAGGCACGCACCTGGGATCTCCCGTGGCTAATGACGCTGGCTTGGGGGGCTGCAACAGGAGGGATCTGGCCATGCCTGGCTGGGGAGGAGCGCCCAAGGAGTCGGCTCACAGAGGCTCAGGCATGAGTGTGGGTACGTGGGGCCATCTCTGAGTGTTCATGTGGCACCGTGCCTGGTGGCTTGTGCCCAGGCAGCTGAGTTGTAAGTGAGCCACCAGCCCTGAGGAGAGGGCTCTGAGCCCCTGAGTGCACCCTATTTTGTGGTACAGGAGATGGGACCTGCCTGTCCTTCATCCCTTCCTCATCCTGTTGCGCAGTTGGAAGCCAGAACCCACTCCCAGGTGGATGTTCGGCCCTTTGGGGGCCACTCCATGCAAGGCCTGTTTTGTTCCCAAGCTCTTGAAAAGGACAGCAAACCAGGAGTTCCACAGTTGTCATGGGGGTTGCTTGTCCTCTGAGCGACCCGTGGCCTCTCCAGTGCAGGTGCTCTGTCTGACTTGCTTGTCCTCTGAGCGACCCGTGGCCTCTCCAGTGCGATTGCTCTGTCTGACTTGCTTGTCCTCTGAGTGACCCGTGGCCTCTCCAGTGCAGGTGCTCTGTCTGACTTGCTTGTCCTCTGAGCAACCCGTGGCCTCTGGCTTGTCCTCTGAGCGACCCATGGCCTCTCCAGTGCGATTGCTCTGTCTGACTTGCTTGTCCTCTGAGCGACCCGTGGCCTCTCCAGTGTGATTGCTCTGTCTGACTTGCTTGTCCTCTGAGCGACCCGTGGCCTCTCCAGTGCAGGTGCTCTGTTTGACTTGCTTGTCCTCTGAGCAACCCGTGGCCTCTGGCTTGTCCTCTGAGCGACCCATGGCCTCTCCAGTGCGATTGCTCTGTCTGACTTGCTTGTCCTCTGAGCGACCCGTGGCCTCTCCAGTGCAGGTGCTCTGTCTGACTTGCTTGTCCTCTGAGCAACCCGTGGCCTCTCCAGTGCAGGTGCTCTGTCTGAATGCTTGTCCTCTGCTCCTCTGAGCTTTTTGGCTACTTTCATGCAGTTTGGGGGAGCTCATGGGAAGTGCAGGGTGGGTGTGCAGTGCAGAATGCTTGGGAGGCCGGCAGTGGATGGCCGCTGCTGTGTGTCCTGGAAGGAGCCCGGGCAAGTGGCTCCCGCGGTCATGCGCTTGGGGACCAGCATGCCCCACCAGCCGTGGGACTCACAGTGCTTGGGATGTCATTCTGACACCTGCTTCTCGCCCCCTGCCATGATCATCGCCTCACCTGCTACTTACAGGGAGGCAGCACGTCTGCAGTTGACCACCCAGGAGATTTCCACGTCCACAGAGCTTTGGTAGAACCTTCATGTCCCTTATCGTCCCTGGGCATCTGTCCGCACAGCCCCCAGGCTCTCCTCGGCCAGTCCTACACACCGGGGTCCCCACAGCTTTAAGCTGTAGTGTTCATTCCCCGAATCCATGCCCAGGTGGGCCTCCCTACCCCGGCCAGACTTCCTCCAGCGGACAGATGCAAGTCAGAAACTAAAGGGCAAACAGCCCAGGAGCCCGGGTTTGGCACTGCCTAGGGCCAGGGCTCAGGGTGTCTGCAGAGAACCCACAGACCCACGGCCATTTATGGGGGCGGCGCCTCCAGGGCCCTGAAAGGTCCCATCTCTGTCTTTGCCCGTGGCCCTTCGAGCCCGTTCGTGCTGAGGGAAAAGCAGCTCTCTCCAGCTTCTGTTTACAGCCAAGGCCAGAAACATAAAGGAACGCAGCCCTGGGCTGCACCCGCTGGTGCCTGGGAGCTTGGTACTCAGGACAGGCGTGGGCTGCAGCATCCCCAAGTCAGGCGGGGCACTGTTGCCACATCGTGGCTTACGTTTTCCAGAGCAAGGCAGAAAAGACTTCTGACAAATCTTATCGGTTTATCACCAATGCTGTGTGACCGGAGCTGTCCTTCATACTGTTGTCTAGGATATTCCTCAGGGAGCTGGAAAACTACACGGACTGCCCAGAGCTGGTTGGAAGATGCTTTCTGGAGAGGGTATGTGGTTTTTTGATGTATATTTTGTCACAACTTCTTAAAATTACTGAATAATGACTTCAAATTCTACTGCAAGTTCCTATTCTAACCAACTGAAATCACAAAATACAAATGTTTTCAATTTGGCTGAGATAACTTGACACTCCTGTATCCCCAGAACCTCCTGTACCCCAGAATCTCTGGTGCCCCCAGAATCTCCTGTGCCTCCAGAGACTCCTCTGCCCCAGAATCTCCTGTACCCCTGAACCTCCTGTATCTCCAGAACTTCCTGTACCCCAGAACCTTCTTACCCCAGAACCCCCTGTGCCTTAGATCCGGCTGTACCCCTAGAACCTCCTGTGCCCCAGAACCTCTTGTACTCCAGAACCTCCTATATCCCCAGAACCTCCTATACCCCAGAACCTCCTATATCCCCAGAACTTCCTGTACCCCAGAACCTCCTGTATCCCCAGAACCTCCTGTACCCAAGAACCTCCTATAACCCCAGAACCTCCTATACCCCAGAAACTCCTGTATCCCCAGAACCTCCTGTACCCCAGAAAC